AGTCTTCATAGATAATTAAACTGAATTCAAAAATTAAGTTGAATCTGAATCACTCAGTCAGTCTACACCAACACTGCTGAATTCCCTTTTTACCAGAAAGTGAGTTTGCAGTCCACATTTAACGTCATAAAAAGACTGCAAAAATAACGACAAAACTTCTGAGTTTTTTCTCATAAGATGCACAGAAGAAAAAAAAAAATACAGAGCTTTAAATCAGATCTAGATTGTGATCCGAACCCTAGCCGATTCACTAGAAAATGGGTTCAAGTCTACATCTCACTCGTTTACTGCATGCGACTCAACTTTCTGAATGGCAAATTATCATTAATTTCTGTCATGTACATCTTGAAATTAATCAAGAAGTTCTGAGACACTTAAAATCAGTATTATCATGGACTAGCTGATCATTTGACAATATGTAGTAAAAGATACACAGTTGCAAAAGTCTACTTATTTAAAAAAAAATGAAATGAAGACCTACCACTGGGATACAAATTTGACTCTCATTATAAAATAAACCTCATTTCTGACTGGACTATACACCTGCCAATCAAACACATCCACACACTATGTTTAGAGATAAGCAGTATATTATGAGATGTAAACAACTTAGAACAAACACAGACACGAAAAAAAGTTTTCACAATCCCTTTAGGCTACAATGTTGCTTGCGTCTACACTCAACACAGCTCTGCATATTATATTAAATGGTGCAGTTGTTTTAAGCAAACTTGAAATGGAACATTTTTAATTGCAACTGAGTTGCCATGGCAGGGAGGGAAGAGAAAAGAAAAAAGAAGAAAAAAATTGAGAAAAGGAGACAAGACAGAGAGGAGAAGAAAAGTGTCTGTTTTATGACATGGGATTGAGCTCCAGAACAACACTCAACATGTGGCTAAAGCAGAACAGATGGGAGAGAGAGAGCGAAAGAGAGGAAACAAACAGGGAGAGAGAGAGAGTGAGTCATGTGTCTAGTAAGCTGGTCTATTTCAAATCCAGCTTTTTACTGAAAATTACATATTAGATATCAGAAATATCTGATAATTAATTTGTTTCTGTCAAAACACTTCAGTCTTCATAGATAATTAAACTGAATTCAAAAATTAAGTTGAATCTGAATCACTCAGTCAGTCTACACCAACACTGCTGAATTCCCTTTTTACCAGAAAGTGAGTTTGCAGTCCACATTTAACGTCATAAAAAGACTGCAAAAATAACGACAAAACTTCTGAGTTTTTTCTCATAAGATGCACAGAAGAAAAAAAAAAATACAGAGCTTTAAATCAGATCTAGATTGTGATCCGAACCCTAGCCGATTCACTAGAAAATGGGTTCAAGTCTACATCTCACTCGTTTACTGCATGCGACTCAACTTTCTGAATGGCAAATTATCATTAATTTCTGTCATGTACATCTTGAAATTAATCAAGAAGTTCTGAGACACTTAAAATCAGTATTATCATGGACTAGCTGATCATTTGACAATATGTAGTAAAAGATAGTTGCAAAAGTCTACTTATTTAAAAAAAAATGAAATGAAGACCTACCACTGTGATACAAATTTGACTCTCATTATAAAATAAACCGCATTTCTGACTGGACTATACACCTGCCAATCAAACACATCCACACACTATGTTTAGAGATAAGCAGTATATTATGAGATGTAAACAACTTAGAACAAACACAGACACGAAAAAAAGTTTTCACAATCCCTTTAGGCTACAATGTTGCTTGCATCTACACTCAACACAGCTCTGCATATTATATTAAATGGTGCAGTTGTTTTAAGCAAACTTGAAATGGAACATTTTTAATTGCAACTGAGTTGCCATGGCATTTCTTCTGTCCAAGTCCTCCTCTAGAAGACAAACAGACTTCAAACAGATTCTTCCAGATGACCAGATCTATTCTTTCACCAAGCAAAAAAAAAAACCCAGATTGTGTTACGCTTGGACTTGAATAAAATGTCACAATATAAATATTATTAGAAAACATCTGAGTTTTTTCTCATAAGATGCACAGAAGAAAAAAAAAATACAGAGCTTTAAATCAGATCTAGATTGTGATCCGAACCCTAGCCGATTCACTAGAAAATGGGTTCAAGTCTACATCTCACTCGTTTACTGCATGCGACTCAACTTTCTGAACGGCAAATTATCATTAATTTCATGTACATCTTGAAATTAATCAAGAAGTTCTGAGACACTTAAAATCAGTATTATCATGGACTAGCTGATCATTTGACAATATGTAGTAAAAGATAGTTGCAAAAGTCTACTTATTTAAAAAAAAATGAAATGAAGACCTACCACTGTGATACAAATTTGACTCTCATTATAAAATAAACCGCATTTCTGACTGGACTATACACCTGCCAATCAAACACATCCACACACTATGTTTAGAGATAAGCAGTATATTATGAGATGTAAACAACTTAGAACAAACACAGACACGAAAAAAAGTTTTCACAATCCCTTTAGGCTACAATGTTGCTTGCATCTACACTCAACACAGCTCTGCATATTATATTAAATGGTGCAGTTGTTTTAAGCAAACTTGAAATGGAACATTTTTAAATTGCAACTGAGTTGCCATGGCATTTCTTCTGTCCAAGTCCTCCTCCAGAAGACAAACAGACTTCAAACAGATTCTTCCAGATGACCAGATCTATTCTTTCACCAAGCAAAAAAAAAAACCCAGATTGTGTTACGCTTGGACTTGAATAAAATGTCACAATATAAATATTATTAACGCGTCAAGGCATTAGCCATCTGCAACCACATTTTTTTACCATTACTCTTCCTTTGTCTTCCTTATTCTAAATGACAAAATTAATGTGGCATTGCGATTCAGTTTTCTTAAAACGTGTGCAGCTTGCCAACACAAAGCCACATGAAAGAATGCACATGCATGCAGAGCTGAAGATTAATTTGTACATGGATGTGACAATTCAAACACACATAACATGGCTGAGACACCCTACGAAACATCTACATCACTTATCTCGATACTGGATACTTAATTGTTCGTGCTCATTTCTCCAATTTAGACTACCTTTGCTGATCCTCATTTAATGCTCACAAAGTTAATCACTGAAAACACTAATTTACTAACACTTAAACATACTCTTTAGCAAATTAAATTTAATATCCATTTTTCATACTGTGCACTATAATGCTGTGATGTCATAGCATGAAAATAATTATCTGTATCAGCTCAGCTGGAACTTCAATAAGAGTGTATCCCTGATAGCATTGCATACCACATAGCAACTGCTAAAAGATCAATTCAAAACACCTTAGCAGCTGCATAGTAGGGTTGTGATGGTGAGGAAATTTTCCCACCGGTTAATCGACGTGTGACAACACCGGTAATACCGGTATCACCGTTGGGGTGGGGGTGTTAGTTCGTTTGAGTTTCCCTATTTTCTTTGCTTTCAAATGGCTTGTAAAAGTGCTGTGCGCACTTTACTTTCACTTTCAAATTAGCGGCAATTTGGCATTGATTCAATTCAAGCAACAACAACGTCAAACTCGTAGAACTTTTAACAACAAAACGAATAAAAATACACCATATATGCCCAATAAAATAAATTACTTAGGCTACACAAAGTTTAAATAGGTATATAAAACTGAAAATCAGCAAACACTGAATAAGAAACTAATGTTAAAAAAAAATTCCAGTCAATAGGCTTTTCAAAATCTAAAATAATGCCAAACATGCGCCTTTGCCTTTCTAAACAATTTTCTGCCATCGTCTTGTCTTTCTCACCTCACTCTTGTCAGTCAGCTCGACTCACTTATCTCCTCACGCGATAAATCAAAACTGACTCCTGCTCCGTGGTGCACTGTCATTCGCGCACGGTTCGCTGCATTGAGCGTTTCATTTTTTAAAGTGTCTGTCCTTTAATTGAACTAGGCTAAATTATTTTTGTTACTATAAAAAAATCAAAACGACGGTGGTGGGCGGTGCCACGGTAGGCAAATGACATAACCGGTGTTGCGGCTCAACACCGTCTATCGCAGCAAACCTACTGCATAGTAATGCCATTGAAAAGCAATCTGGTCTCTTACAACAAATTCAATAGATAAATACATGATGAACAGTTCAAAATATTTAAACAATTCTTCCTATGTACAGAGGTCACAAGAAACCAATGAGTCAAAATATATTTTTTGATTTTCCAGGAACACCACAAAAATAAAAGGCTTCTTCCATGAATTGAACTGTGCGCAAAAAGGTTTTGTTTATACAGTGGGTACGGAAAGTATTCAGACCCCCTTAAATTTTTCACTCTTTGTTATATTGCAGCCATAGCCATTTCACTGACATATTAACCTTATTTTGACATTTTGAACCTGCCATTAAATATCAATATGTATGTGCTATGTGCCAAAAACTGGAATTGGATTGGCATTATTTACAGCTTTGAAAAAAGGCTGCTCACTTAAATCTGGCTTTACTATCTGTTCATGGAAAGGAATACTTCAGGAAAATTGTGGCATTTCCCTGCCTCTTCCATTTGATTAGTCCAATTTAAAACACTGGTCTTCACATTTCCCTGATGAGTGAAATTGTGAGGCAGCGTAATAGCTTCACTCCGTTCCCACAGAATCTGTCTACAGTACAACAACTCGGTCTAAATTCACTATCCTGCCATGCATAACACACTCAAACACAGACACAGAGGTATAAAGGGTGTTTTGTGGAGCTAAACTCTCTCCTGAGGTTGAAGGAATAAGGTCAACATCAGGCCAGGAGGCAAAAGAGTGAATTGAGGGTCAAAATCAGTAACTAATTTCTTCAGGTACTCTTGCCGTGTGTCTGTGTGAGCAGGTTAATTAGTTATACTGGGCCTCTTACAATAACAAATTGTTGAACTTGTTCAAATAAAGTCTGGGAAATGTAACTGGGCATGCAGCTCTCATTAGGAAAGAGTTTGTCATCCGAACAGTCATTATTCAACCAGCTGAACTAACTACCCATACACATACCTGCACAAAATCTGTACACAGATGCGAAAGAAAAAAAAGGGGCAAAGTAATACACTTCTATCTATTTTCCTACACAAACCGAGAGCCACTCATCTCCTCTTTCTCGCTCAGACCAGAGAAGCTCTTTCTTTCCGCAACACGCGGCTTGCCGTAATTGCTGCTTTCATCAATGTCTATATAAGTCTGTAAGCGGGTCTAATATGAGTAAAATGTGTTTTTTCATGTGTGAATCATACACGAGGGAGGAGGAAAGAGATCGCTTAATAGGTTCTGATTTATGTCTGGTCGAAGGGAATGGATCATTTCAACACTAATTGAGAGTGATACAGTTACTATCGTACAGAGACGCCATTCTAGTCCCCAGAAGCCATCTGCTAGCGTTTTACACAGCACCAACAGACACTGGGTTATAGACATAAGGGAAAAGAAAAATAGACTAAAGAAAATAAAAATATAGAAAGAAGAGCAGAAAGTACAATGATGGTGTAGCCAGACTAGTTCAGATTAAAGACAATTAACACTACAGTTCAAAAGTATGGTGTCAGTACGTTTCTTTAAAATAAGAAATTAATATTTGGAATATTTTATATATTTATATTAATGAATATTTCAATTAAACACTGTTATTGAACTATTCATCAAATTATAAAAAAGACATCACAGTTCAACAAAAATATTAAGCTGTCACAACATTGATTAAAAAATTATATCTTGAGCACCAAATATAGCATATAAGAATGATTTTTGAAAGATCATGTGACACTGAAGACTGGAGTAATGACTGCTGAAAATTCAGCTTTGCTGTCACAGTCACAGAATAAATTACATTTTAAAATATATTAAAATAGAATAGTATTGTAGTAGTATTTCAAAATATAGTTGTTATATCAAATTAATGCAATATATAAAAACAAAATTAAGTTAAACAAAATAAATTTGATAGAAATTGAATAATTTCCTAAACTTTTAATTATTTGTGAGTTACATTTAAAAGATGTGTTAATTAGTTAAACAGTTTAGATGACTGATATTACTCAAAAAATTTTGAAAATAGTAATATTAAAGAATGATTAGATGTCCAAACTGTTAACTGGTACTGTAACAACACTTAATGGTATATCGGTCATTTTGTGTGGTTTTGTTTACTCTCTTACCTTTATATGTGGTTTGGATAGTAGATTGACAAGCTCTCTGATCTCATTACTTGCACTTCTTCCTTGAAGTTCCTCTGTCAACTGACAGAAACAGACAAGAAGGATAGCAAGAGAGAGAAACAAAAACCAGAGAGCAAGAGAAAATGAGCATCAATAACATCCGTGAACACATGCATTGGTCATATAGACATGAACACACATATATTATGAATAATTGGAGTATAAATGTCTCCCTTGCGGCAGGTAGCAGGTGGAGAGTGTGTGTATGTTTAAGAGATTTATAGCAGCGCAGACGCACACTAAATGAGGCACAGAGACATGTTGCCGTTTCTCTGAGCGAGGAAAGAGACCGAGAGAGATGGACTTGTTCCCTAGATCCATTTGAAGTGTTACTCCAGGGCAACAACCTTATTATTGACCCCACTCGCTCTGGTTCTGGGTGTATGTGTGGAGCGAGTCTGCTGAAATGCTGTAATCAGTGTTGAAAGATTCGCTCCCTTAGGATGTCAGTAGACTTTTCCAGTAACCAGCCAAATGGGAGGTGACGTTCAACTGAGTAATGGTGACACTGACCTTTAGTGAGACACACACACACACAAATTGCATCATGTGTACAAATAGATACATACCATCCACTGCAGCTGACGTCATAGCAGCAGAGATCACGCATGGAGAAAAACAGATTGTGCAGATCCGGGATCATTCTTTTATGACTATGGTATTTGTACACTTAGTGCATGCTTGAAATGTACAAATATTTGTAATTTAAGTCTATAAATCAAGTCTTTGAATATCTAATAATCATTTAACCATGAACCTCACAAATGCTGGCAAATCCAGTTTTGTTAGAGCTTCATTGTATCCTGCATAAAAACATGTGTACTCTGGGCGGGATGGTCCATCTGTGTGAATTGGATGTGGACAGGACAGTTGTGCTGTCACTGGACAAGCATAAAAGATTAATTTTAAATGCTTCATTTCAAATTATGCTGCACTACTTCCAGTTTTCCACTATGTCATATTCGTATCATATTTATTGTGAACTGTATGTAAAAACAGTATTCTGGTCATTGAGAAAATATAATTCCCAGATCACAGATTACTGAGTGCACTGTTGATTCACTTGCATTTTACCCATGTTTTTAGCAGTTTATTTATCAGTGAAATATATTGTGTAATATGATTGTTTTAAATCAAGAAGTTGCTGTTTAAAGTATGAATATTTATTTTATTTTACAGTTTATTTTTTAACCATAATTTATTTTTTCTAATTGATTTATACATCTTTTTCCTAATTAATATAGTGAATATAAATATAATATCAAATTAACAAATGTCACTACAGCAATGTATTTAAACTGTATTATTATATATTGGATTTATATTTTAAAAATCCATATCAGATAACCAGTACAAAATATCCAGGCATCATTATTTTTAAGAAAACGCTTCACAAAAACTTAAGATTAAATAATATATTGTTTAAGATTAATTTGAAAAAAAATCAGATTTTTTCATCAAACGCAATTGCAATGAGACATTAAGTGCCATTAAGTGTCTAAAAACTGGAAACTATTTACTGACAACTGTGTTTCAGAGATTAATCAACCTAAAAACTTCATCTCTTTCAAAACAGTCTCTTGATTTGTGATAATATGGCCCAAAAACTACTATTTATTGCAAATCAATTAGAATGCCATACAAAGTGGCCTGTTTTTGTCTTACAACAAAAGAAATCGTTTCGGAGATCTGCATCACAGCACATCTGGCTTATGACATCTGTATTGTGTGTGGCAATAGAATGATCATCTAAAATAACTCTACAAGCAGTTTCTATTAATCAGTCAGGGACATCGTTTCGCTGCTCTGGTGTAATCTGACAGTTATGCATTTGCTTGACTGATGGCTCCAGAACAGACTTCTGCATCTGAGAGGTATGAGCGGAGTGGAGTATCATCCAGCAGCCTCTGCAGCGCTCCATTTTTCCACAGTCTAATGGAAGACACCCGGGACGCGATGAGGACCATAATCTGGTGATTGTTTTTATTCAGACTGAGACCTGCTTGTGGAAGTAGCATTCTTTACTGCCTACCTGTGGCCAGAATGAGAACTGCACACCTGCTGCTAAACTTCATACTGTTGTTTGTATTACATCTCTGCTAAAGCTTTCTGTGGAAATGTGTGTGTGAGGTGCTTGCCTGCTGCGTCAGTGCTAGACAGCATCTCGGGCCAGGCGGAGGTTAAAATGGCGTTTTATGCTACACTATAAATTAAAGCTCCATTAGCGAAACTTTACACTCGAATGAGCGGCAGCGGCAAACCCACTACAGCGTTCAAAACAGCAGCACGCCGTATATTCCTCACAGCAATGGATGAAAACAATACGTCTGAAAGAACACAGGAGGGGGCTCCGAGTAATTTGGTTGCTTTGGCTGTTCGACCCTTTGATGGACCTCATCCGCACGCACACGCAGATATCGGGTTCTCCATGTGTGGGACCTTTAGGGACACCGAAGGAAAGTGTAAATCTAAGGGGCGGATCTGAGCTGCAGGTTGAAAAGTTTCCGTAACGGAAGTCGAGATCTATGGAAACCCAAGACGGCTGGTTGCCACCACCCACTGAGACATGAGTGAACAGGAAACGGACGTGTATCAAAGCTGATTAGCTCTTCTAGGATATAGATTTGAGCACAAAAACAACACTGTTTAAACAGAAGTGGCATCTTTTACTGCAAAAATGCTTTGAATATCCAGACTACTCCAAAGTGCATTTTTGCCCATCATAAAGTCAGTGATGACCTGAGATGCTCTTCTCTAAATCGCCTTTGTGTTCTTTCCTTCTGTCTTTCCTCTCTGTGATCACATCCAGAGTAAACTCTTCAAAGTTTACATAGGTTTGTGTGTGTGTGTATGTCTATGCGGCCATGTTGATATAGTAGTCAGTTTACATTATACAAGCCGTTGAGAGTTTAAACGTTGAGTGTTTTATAATACTGATGACTAATGTCTTCTACAGACACACACACACACAATACTCCACGCCTCATCTCGCACTCTCATCTGCAGCCCATCTACTTGTGTTCTCTGCCCCAGACATCCATCCATCTTTTTTCTTTCCTTTAATGACAAGTTCCTCTTGGAGTCAGTCTTAAGCTAGACATGCTGGGAGACGTCTGTGTATGTGTTTTCACAGGCATACATTGCGCATGTGTGCGTGTGTTTATCCATGCAGAAGTGTGTAAAGTTTATGAGCATAAAAGTGTTTTGGTTTTTAACAGGAAATGTGTGCATGTGGTTCACTCACGTCCTGAGCTAGGGAGCCGGCGCTGTCCAGTACTGGAGTCGGAGCACAGTCTTCATAACTCTGTAACTTCTCATGGATCTAATAGGCAGTGAAACAGGAAACAGAGTGATCACTTAAAGTCATTGCGGAATCTAAACTGACCTCGTTCACTTTCCTAATGTTTACTTTCCAATGTGCACTTTCCAATGTTCCTGGTCTTATTGTGAACTATTCATTTTTTACAACAAATTCTGACAACAAATTACTTTTCCACTCACATCACACAGATTTCGGACAATGTTAACCTATAGCCTATAGAAATTGAAATTCTATATGACACTGTTAAGCCAATAATTATTTTCATGGTTCTGTCAATAAACAGATGGACAATGTTAAAATTCTATATAAATTTTGCCTAAATATATTAAAAATAAAACACTAAAAAATTATTTCAGTTTTATTAAATTTAGACATTACAACAATGTACAGCATGAAAATGTGATATTTATTTTGATATTTGCCAAAGATTATATTTAGAAGTATTATTAAATTCATGATTTATTATACAATTATTTCATCTCTCTTTTTTAAGGTTAACCAAGGTAAGGTAATAATTGACAAAGGTAATTAAAAATGTATAAGAAGTACAAATAGGCATGCACAATTAAACATCCAACAATTTACAGAGAAAAAAACAAAAAATAAAATAAAAATAAGCATCTCTAATGCCAAATAACAAGTTTTTCATGATGCAATGGATACAACCCACCCAACTTTATGTATTTTTAATTGAATATCCTGAATGTATGATGTACACATCATAAGCAGGTTAAACACCGATGATTAACACAAAATAAAAGTAGAATATGTGGTAGGATCCAAGTATTCTGACAAAAACTAAAAAGCAAAGACTGTTTTCTGACATGTTTGTAACAGCTGTGTATTTTATTGGTTGTGTAATATCTATTCAACAAATTCATTCTTGCTGAAATTGTGGTACCAGGACAACATCTTGGTCGGGAGCCATGCAGAAGCTACCAGCACGTTTAGACTGGAATTTGTCCTGTGAAATATTATGTAACAGCACACAGCAGTGTAAGAGAAATTCGACTGCTACCAAGGGGACTAAATATTTATCAAGACAAGACAAACGACTCCACCACCGGGCTGGTTGTCATAGTGAAGTGGAGAGGGAAGGGAACGCTATGTGCTTGGATCAACCATGTCCGAGAGAGCCAAAGATGCAATTTTTCTGGATCTCCTTCTCCAGAGCAGTTTATGTGGCGAAGCTTGGCCATAGTAAGAACTGTTGTCGGGACCAGTGACGAACAATCTGTGCTTTCTTCATCACTCCGTTTGCAACCCTCAACACGTACTGAACTCCGAACGGGGTCACCGTCTGTTACTACAGCAGCGGTGTAGAAGTGGAATCTCTCGCACACCGGCAAACACGCTCACAGGCGAAGAAAAGAGACATAATATTTCTTATCCACTCAGACTTATACACACTTGGTGGAGGAGGAATGGAATGTGGGATCTGGTGAAGGATGGAATGTAACTGTCCGGTTCCTGACATTCCAGGGAGCGACATCTGTTTAGGCCGTCTGAGCCGTGGCGGAGCGGTTTTGCTCTGTACAGTTTAGATTCCATCAAAGGCTGAGTGAGATTCAATGCCTTTATTTACAGTTCGGGCCGTTCTCCAGATACCTGCCTGTCCACACAGGAGCGCCAAGGAGCAGACATTTAAAATCCTTTACAGAGCCCTTACACTGATCATAGCTCACGTTCCACAGTAAAGAGAGGGCAGGAAATGAGAGCAATGAATCAGAGTAATACCGTCAAGCATTAGTCCATTATTCCACTACATCACAAAGACCTTGCAGACCGATAAACAAATCGCTTCATTTTTCAGACTTGAAAATTGCACAGTAGGATGAAAAACAACGTGAATCGGTCATGGCTGTTAGGCTAGTTGATTAGTGAGGTTTACCTCACTGAATTGACCACACATAGCTTCAATATTTTTATGCTTTAAAAAAAGATGAATTTAGAGACCGCAATATATAACTAAACACTAATACAACTAAATATAAGTTAAAACTGCTTTGAGCTCCTTGCAAATGGTAGCTGTTTTTGATCGGAATAATGCATCTGATGTGAACACCCTCTAAAACACAACATATAGGGCTTCCTTTGACTAGCCATCATAAAATGGTGTCATTTTTACTTATCTCTAGCTTGACACTTTAGTAATGAGTATTAAAACACATGAATAAACAAAGCAATGCTTCCGTAAACACACGGTTTTGTTATCAAGGTTCAGATCTCATGCTACAATGGAGCCGTGTCTAAATCCTCTTGGACCAGACGTTCAATACCCACAGGCCCTTAACAAAACACGAGTGGAGAACATAAGCAGGTGAGAGAAACGGCAGCCAGTCTGGCCTCTGGGTCCTCCAAGAGCATTCTGCAGCCAAACAAACACAGCTTTAAACACAATTACACTGAACGTTGACAGATCCGGAGGAGAGGAAATTTGATGTGGAACTCAAGGAATATGACAACGAAGAGGGGGGGGGGGGGGGGGGGGGGGGGGGGGAGACGAGTATAGAAAGCATAAAATAAAAAGGCTCAGTTAATGAGCTGCCTTGCTGGGTACTACCTACATAAGCAGCTGCCTTCTAAGACAGCATTATAGGTGAAAGGAAACCTTATTTGTGACTGATTTGGAAAAATTACACTAACGTTCAATAGTTTGGGGTTAGTTAAAGTTTTTGAATGAGGTTTCATATGCTTATCAAGGGTGCTTTTATTTAGCAAACAATTCTGTAAAAAAAGCAATATTGTTAAATATTGATGCAATTTCAAATTTTCCTTTCTCTTTGGAGTGTTACAAGCTGTTCATGCATAGATAAGATCCCTAAAGTTGCAAAGACTACAGTCTCAAACCCAGAGATATTCTTTATAAAAGTTAAGACTTGTCCACGCCCTCCTAAAACGCCTCGTTTAAACATCATGTCTACGTCACTGTGTGGGAAGATTTGCATAACACTGCCCAAATGTTCATGCAAAGGCGTAACTTTTATTCTCACTGTAGTATTGTTGCTGCCGCCGCCGCCATGTCATGGAGACGCTGTGTTTCGTTGTGAAACCGAAACTACTTTGTTTGGCCTTCCAAAAGAGGACGATATCCGCTTTGTCATGCCTAGAGCTGATCCGTGCTGGTCGCTGAGGAAATACATCAACTTCGAGCTGTGGATCGCTGGATCGGCTTTTACTGTGGACGAATCGGAGTCCAGCCCGGGGTCATCACATGTGGTTGCCGCAAGCCGCCGCTCACTCAAGCCTGCCGTGTGTGACACTGTGTGTTTCGTTGTGAAAGCGAAACTACTTTGTTTGGCCTTCCAAAAGAGGACACAACTAGAAATCAGTGGTTAAGTTGTATTTACAACACTGTTCCAGAACAGTTCAACCCGAATATTCAGATGGGTGCAGTGCATTTTATGGAGGACTGTTTCCTGAACCTGCAGAGTAGCCTACAATGCGTCTGTGCACAAAGGCTGTTTCTATAAAGTGGGGCAGCTCCAACTTTGCAAGGACAGTCTGGCGCTTCTGACTCACAGCCTGTAAGTACATTTTTTTTATATTTAACGAATTTGCCACTGACGATTCAAACGCGAGTTTTGAGCAGTGTAGAGTAGCGCTTGTTGTTTGTCGTTTCTCTGATCACAAATGCAGACATGGTTTTATGTTTACGTGGCGCGATACGCAACGCAACACATAAAAAGACCGTATAAGTCATTATAATCAGTAATTATGTCCCCACTAGATGCAACAAATGCCTTGTTTGTAATGGGTTTTGTCTCTTCGCACCAGGACACGGCATCATATGGTAAGGAGCTTAACATTTCAGTCACACGCTTGAGGTATTCAGCCAATCACAACACACTGGATAGCTGGCCAATCAGCGTACACCTCGCTTTTCAGACCGATGGGCTTAAAAATGAAAAATCAACGAGTTTCAGAAAGGCGGGGCATAGAGGAGAAACAATAATGTACATTATGTGAAAAATAATGTGTTTTTTTTAACCTTAAACTGCATAAACACATTGCATTACACCAAATACATAATTTTCTTTTTAGCAACGTCATATGACCCCTTTAAAATAATGGTTCTATTTTAATTAATTTAAAATGTAATTTATTCCTTGATAGAAAAGCTGAATTTTAAGCAGCCATTTGTCCATTCTTCAGTGTCATATGAAATCATCCTAATATGGTGAATTGGTGCTCATAAACATTTTGTTTTATTAATATGATCAACGTTGAAAACAGCTGTGCTGCTTAATATTTTCGTGGAAACTGGATACATTTTTGTCTGTTAACATTATAAATGTCTTTATTACCACTGCAATTAAAAAAATACATAAAATAAGATCCCATGATGATGGTGGGAAAACAATGCTAAAGTAAAAACCTGTAAAATTATTTAATAGCAAGTTCCCTTACTATACAGTATACGGTAAACTTTAAATCTAACGAGACATTGTCATTTTACAGTAAAATTTATTGTTCAATTTACAGTTTTGGGAAGTGAATAAGAACAGGCCATTTTATAATTTACAGTGAAAAAGCATAAATTGGCATTCCCAGAATTCCATGGGTGACATGTCACATTTGTGTCCATATTCACGTTTTTCGTTCTCAATTGTCATCCCACAACCCAGATCTACTTAGGGTTGGGTATCGTTTGAATTTTATGAATTCCGATTCTGATTCCGATTCTTTTCGATTCCCAGTTTCGATTATAATGTGATTAAATAATGATATCAAACATTTATCCTGTGTCTCTTTTTTGCAAACCATTTATTGGAGCTGAATATCATGAACAAAAATCAACAGGCTAAATAAAAACTGGACTCTTTAAGAGCTGTTTGTGTGCAAAATAGAACTGTGTGATTCTGGATAAATTTAGTTTTTTTTTTTCCCCCAATGGAAGCTGTGGTTCTCATGATTCTGAAGAGAAAAAAAACATTAGACAACTAAACAAAATCACATATAATTTATGAATTAACGATTAAATGACTCACTCAAGATGT